TACTGCCTTGAAAAATATCGGTATCGTATCGAAAACAAAATAAGGGGTATCGCCCATCCCTACTCTTAAAGCAGCACTGTGTAACTTTTGGCGCTCTAGCGGTTAATAAACAGAACTGCACACATCCCGCGGAAGAACATTCCAACCGGAGCTACTTCTCTAAGTTTATGTCTATGGCGATTCACGCAGGTATGTGTTACTCCGCAGCGGTGACGACCCGACCAGGCTACAATAGTCCAAATATAAGTACTTATTATAAGTGTACCGTAGTGATTCGAAATAAGACAAAAACTCGGTTTGGAAGATTAATTCCTGATGCACTCGCTCATTATATACATTTTGCAAATTTTGAACACAGAAAAAGGTACAAAGTGCTGCTTTAACTGACATATCTACTGTACAGTAGACCTTAATTTGGGAATAGGGAATAAATCTGTCAAAAGGAGGAGATGAGAGAGCAATCTTTCCACAGCTCTACTGCCCCACTTCTGTGTCTGCTTTTGCCATGGGGGGGGGGGGGGAATTTCCAGTTTTCAAGTGACAGCAGCAGTTTACAAACTTCCGTCAGTCACACAAAAGGAAGAATGGAAAGATAAAGAGCTAACGCATTATGCTGTAGATTATCTTTTTCTCTCTTTTATGACATTATGTCTTGTAAGGGTCAAAATATTGAGGCCCTTTTATCCAGTTTGGATGCGTTTCATTCTTATTGGTCAAGGACTCCAATTCATTTTATGACTAGTAGCTTATGATTCCATTATAATGTTGAAATTCAGACAAGTAATGAGTTTACATTTACATTATTATATGAAATCACCTACTACAGTCAGCCATTGAATACTATGGGCCTAAAAAAATGCGTAGAAAATTTCTTTCATGTATACCTTTTTATTATATAGATGTAATATTTTCTTCATTCAATTTATTTTTATTTATTTATTTTCATTTAACACACCTCTAAGAATGAAAATACCTGCATGTTCAATAATAAATAAATATATAAACAAACAAACAAAATATATAAACAAATAAATATAATATAATATAATAACAAATATAATATATAAACAAATAAATAAACAAAATATTTAAATAATAATATATTTTAAAAAGAATATCATTAATTTCATAAATATCAAAGGACTTTTGTCAGGGTTGATCCATTTGGCCTAATCAATATGTGCCTATTCATAAAATATGAGTTATTTTACATATTTACATCACAAAGTAGAGTATGCAAATATGTTTATGTAAATTTATAAAACTACTTGAACCTTCACTGCAGTACTCCTTGTAGGCTACTTGTAGGCTACTTATACTAAAACTGCTTACGTAAGGGAAAGTTCACCCAAAAATGGAAATTGTGTCATTATTTAGTCACCCTCAAGTAGCAAACCTATGAGATTCTTTCTTCTGTTGAGCACAAAAGAAGACATTTTGCAGAATGTTGGTAACCAAACAGTTAAATGCGTAATTTTCTTTCAGGTATACCTTTTTTATTATATAGATGTAATATTTTCTTCATTCTATTTATTTTTATTTATTTATTTTCATTTAACTTTTTGATACACAATACCCTGTTGGGGCAACTTAATGGCTGCACTTTGTTCTGCACTATGTTCCACCATTTTAAGACAAATGGATTTGTTGTGTTATCATATTCAAGAGATTATAAGCTAGATGCAACTTTTTGGGTGTTTGCATCGAATGTTCTTCGACTTTTATGCATAATAAATTTGTTTATGAATAAAGATTGATCTGTTGAAAGCAGTTATTTTGAGTTAGATGCCAAATGCTCTCCTCCTATTCAAATTTGAAGGGGTGCATACAACATATTTGCCCACCGGCAACTATAGTTGCCGCACATTCAAATACGATTTTCAAGAAAAAAAAACTAAAACCTGGGGAAAATAAATGCAGGACATGTTCACATAGGACACTATTAATATGACTATATGCATGAAACCATTCAGAAAAATTTGGGCACAAAATGGGTTAAAAACAACTGGACGGAGGAATTTAATTTCTTATCGCAAAGCAGCATCGACAATTCCCACGCTTTTTGCAAAGTGTGTCGCACTGAATTTAGTATCGGACACGGTGGGAAAAATGACGTAAAGCAGTACAATCACAACACCCCAAACCCAAACCCGTATAATGCTAACATGCAAAAATGGCCTTGAAAATCAGTTCAATAGGGCCAGTGGTTCTCAAACCTGTCCTGGAGTACCCCCAGCCCTGCACATTTTGTATGTCTCCCTCATCTATCACACCTGATTCAACTCATCAGCTCATTAGTGGAGACTGCAAGACCTGAAGTGGGTGTGTCAGATATACAGTATGGAGACATACAAAACGTGCAGTGCAGGGGGTACTTCATGGAGAGGTTTGAGAACCCCTGCAATAGAGTATATGTCGAACGTCACCTGACCAAACCTGGAAAACGAGCTGTCTCTTTAATACCGCGTGGTTTATATACATGTTGCTGCTGATTGGGCTGACATGTTTGACACACCCACCAAACAAGAGAAAACGTATCTCAAACCCCGTTGCACACCATTGCACACCGTTTCCAGGAAACATGTCGTTCAAACTGGAAACCGTAGCAAAACGTTGCGCACCGGTTTGAGCTTGAACTTGCCCCAGGTAAACAGAAAACGGAAGTCGGTTGCGCATATAACCCCTACTATACACATTCATTTCTGAAACAGACAGAAGAATGCAGTACACACACACACATACACATGTTGGTATTGGTGGTTTACGGGGACTCTCCATAGGCGTAATGGTTTTTTTACTATACAAACTGTATTTTCTATCGCCCACGCCAACCCTACACCTAAACCCACCCCTCACAGAAAACTTTGTGCATTAAAAAAAAAAAACACCATTTAGTATGTTTTTAAAGCCTTTTGAATTACGGGGACACAGGTAGTGTCCTCATAAACCACCTTCATATTGTAATACCTGTGTCATACCCATGTCATTATACAAATTTGTGTCCCCATAA